ATATATCACTAATGATTGATATTCTTCAAGCTTGATTCTGACGAGTTCCTTTCACAAATAAGGTCATATATATCGCTCTCTCCCATTTTTTAACAAATAAAATCAGGCATGGAAATTACATACAGACTTATGCTAAGATAAAAAAACGATTAAAAAAAGGAAAAAAGAAGAAAGAAACTTCTTGCAAAAAGAGTTTCTAATGATGAGAAGCAAAATAAAAAGAAGAAAAATTGAAAAGCAAGTTATGAATGAAAAAGGCAGAATGTTGTAAAGGTCAGGACATTTGCTTTAGTATTTATAGTTAGCAAAAGAAATAGTAACATAACAATATGAAAAGATAGATAACGTACATTTGAGTAATTATAATTGAATGAGTATTAAGTTTTTTTTTTAATTGAGTTTTATCATAAAAAAGACTTAATTAGCTTTAAGATAATGTTGCTACGTGGGCTGATTCAGTTTCTGATTCAGTTTTAATAGGATTTTATTGGGTTTGGTTTCTTCATTTAATTGACCTTTTTATTGATAATCAATTAGATTGTACTAGAAAATGAAAAAAAAAAAAAAGAAGAAGAGAATAATAGCATTAATGATAAAATAAATTAAATATGATTATTAATAAAGAAATAATTAAATGTGACTATCTTTAATATTTAGATGATTTTTTTTGTATTTAAAAATTTGAAAAATAACCAAAAAAACCATAAAAAAGATAAATAGATTTCTAGCCCTTAGAGGCATGCCACATCAACATGTATAACATATATATAAAGATTGTTCACATTTTAAATATTCAGTCATGAATATGTGGGACCATTAGTGTCCCACATCGTTATATGATGAACTAATTTACTTCGTTATATGAATTTGAGCAATTTTTGCATCATAGTTCATGAACTAACTTTTGATATTAGAATTAGAAGTATATTTTCTTATAACTTCAATCACTCTTCCTTGTTTTAATTTATATGACACACTTTTTTGTTAGTCAGTCTTAAAAAAAATTGACAGATTTTTTTATTTGACAAATATTTAATGACACTATTAACATTTTACCCTCTTTGGATTTCACTTATTTGGTTAAAGGTGTGTACTTTTCTATTTTAAAATCATTAATTTTAGGTATAATTTTAGAACATTGTAAAACCTTTTCATTTATCTTAAACTCCATACCTAATTATATTATGTTATATAAATTGAGACGGAAAAAATATCATTTATCAGATACTCGTTCCACTTTACACTAGGGGTGTTCACAGATCGATTTGGATCTGTTATTGATCAAAATCAAAATCAAATCAATTTAATCGATTTTTACCAACCAAATCAAATATACTATACATTTATTGATTTGGTTGTTACAGATTTCGATTTGATTTGATTTGATTCGGTTATTTGGTTATCAATTATACACAAAAATAAATGAAACAATTCATTCAAAAGAGGAAAAAAGAGAGGCAAGAATTCATTCAAAATGAAAAATACTTAGAACAACTGACTTTATAAAACTTTCGAGTACTAAATTTACTGTGAATAAAGATATTTAAATTTTTTTATAAAAATAATATATTATGTTTATATAATAATAAAATATATGTATATAATTTATCGATTTGGTTATTCCTTTAACTTTCTTAACAAAATCAAAACCAAACCAAATACTATCAGTTTTAAAAAATCTAACACCAAATCAAACTCAAATAAAATTGATTTATTTGATCAATTTAATTTAATTTTTCAATCTGAATTAATTTTTATCCAAATCGTGAACACCACTCCTTTTCACCATCACAAGGGGTAAGAACTAGCAAGCCATTTTGCCTTAACAAAAGCTTACTATTGGTGTATAGACAATTGGTTGGGTTTTCTTGTCAATTATATCATCTACTAGTACCCAATTTTCCCAAAACTGAATAAAATATAGCATATCCACTGAGGTGGTTACACGTGTACACTCAACCAATAAGGGCACTTATATTTCTTGATAACAGTATCTTTCCGCTATCATATATTTCTACATTTTTATTTGACGGTCGGTAAGGTATATGCATGCTCTATTCTATTTTAAATTTTATTTATGAAACTATACTAAATATGTTATTATTGATTTTAGTATATAAATTTATGTTTCATAGCAAATTAATATAAATTGACACCACTAAGTTCGTTGCATTTGTATGTAGACCCGATTATTTAGATTCACGCTACATGACTCATTTAATTTGAAGGTGTAGCTTCTACTACTCCCTCTTGTCTATTTACTTGTTATGTTTTTTATGCATCTCTTAAGAAAATGATAGGTTGATAAATTGTTCTTATTTACTCTTTGATCTCAATTTATTAGTACTATTTTTAATCACATTAATTTCTCTCCATATCTATTGCGTATGGATAAAGATGAAAATAATAATTAATTTTATCTTAATTTTTTAAAATAAAAATTATTTAGACTAAGTATTTTTAATTAGCATGACATCTAAAATGAAACGAAAGAGTAGCTTTTTCAAAAAATACTTTTAGCATCTAATACAATCTTATAGGATTTGATAAGATTTTCTTGATGTTTCTGATAGGGGTGTGCAAAAATTGAACTAATTGATAAATCGAATCGAAAAAAGTGTTATTGGTTTATTGTTATTGGGTTATTGGATTAACAGTTATTTAATGGTTTTATAAAAAAATATTATTAGGTTATCAATTTGATATTGATTTTTTAATATTGGGTTATTGGGTTAACCGATAACTCATTAAGAATATAATTGCTTACTATTTTATTTTTTAGTCATACATAAATATCAAACAAAAAATATTAATATAATCACTATATTAGACAATAACTATAAGGAGCTTACACAATTAACACTACTTAACTCTGCTCTTTACATTTACCCTTTAGGTTTTAACATTACTTTAGTCTTAGGTTCACAATGTCAAAACCTAAAGAACTAAGAACGATGACGGGTAAAGTTTGCAACGACAATGACAAGGGTTAGGCAACGGCTAGAGTTGTGAATTGTGAGTATTAACTATATTTTTACTAAACTACGCAGAATTTTTACACTCAATGAGTAATTTGATTTCTCTAGTTTTTATTTCGCGTCAAATTGTTGGACAAGTCATATATTTGTTTTGAAAGCATTTTCTTATTGGTTAAATTGAAAATCGAATCGTTAAAGACCAAAAATCGATAACAAATATCTTATTGGTTTGGTTATAGGTTTAGCCTATTTAAAAAGCGAAACCGATAATACTTAAAACGAAATCGAACCGACCAATACACACCCCTAGTTTCTGGTCAAACGATTTTCATAATTTCCCTCAAATCTAAAGTATTAAATATTTGACGGAAACGAAAAATTGAAACTTTTAATAAATTATTTGAAGGACTAAAACTGTTGAAGAATATATTTAAGAAGCTAATTTGAACCTAGTGGCAAACATAAAGGGACCATCTTTGTCATTTTTCTCTCAAAACTTGAAAATCTACGTGTCTTAATATTAGACCAAAGAATTAATATTTACTGAAAAAAAGTAAAAATGAGGATATGGATTCTGAATCACTCAATTCCAATCAGCAAAAATAAAATAAATTTAAAAAATAATAATAAATGCTATAAAATCACCAAAATATGTGGAGCAAAAAGTGCAGAAAAAACCAACAAATTGCATTCTCCATTTCTTGAAAGTGGCCATTGTTGAAAGAAAAAGTGAAATTTGAGTGGCCATTCTTGATTTCTTGAAACAAAGGTTTGTTTCCCTTCACTTCTTGATATATAAAGTTGCAATCTTTATAACTTTCTATTGCTTTGCTAGTGTTTTTGTTGCTATATATATATATATATATATATATAGAGGTGGAGTTAGAGTGTAAGTTACGCGTTAGTCGAATTCAGTAACTTTAGTCAAACTCTGTAATTTAGTAAGTTAAAAAATATTAGAATTTAGAATTCATAAACTTTAAATTTTGGCTTCGTTAGTCTGTGACTATGCAATAATAGAAATTGAGAGTGGCCATTGTTGAAAGAAAGATGGAATTTGTGTAAGTTTTGTTTCCTTTCACTTCTTGATGTATAAAGTTGCAATCTTTAACATTCTTTGTTAACTTTCTATTGGTTTGGTATACGGGTTCGGTTAAATTCAGTAGCTTTAGTTTAAACCCTATGCAGAATCTGTAAACTTCAAATTTTGGCTCCACCTGCGGCTAGTCACTATATAATAATAGGAATTGAGCACTTGGCTTTTGAATAGAGCTTCTATGTGTACCAAAATTAGAAAATGAGGTGATTATTATAATCTCGTTGACTAAATATAGAAAGCATCCATTACCCCCAAAAAGTGTGATTTCACTGTCATTGGAGGTTTTTTTTATTCTATTTATTTGTGCTTTCAATAATGCAGAGCAGTTTTACAAAGATCCTTTCTTTGTGCCACTGGTAGGTAATATTGCTGATTTTGTTGTAGTTTTGGGGTTATAAAGTTCACATTATTTATATTGGAGCATGGGGTGAGGGGTTGTCTATAATGCTGGTTACGGTTTCACGTGAACTCAGTAATTTTTGTAGATACTAAGAAATCCACTCAGTGTTCTTACAGTGTCTTGCTTTTGATTTCACCATCTTTTGTTGTTGATTATGTTTAGGTTATCACATTTTTCTGTGGCTGTAACTGTTTCCTTATTAGTTGCTTTGTTTCTACACTATTGTTTTCCCTCTTTTATACCTATTTTGATATGTTGTACTCGAACCGAGGGTCATCCGGAAACAACCTCTTTTACCTCCATGAGGTAGGGGTATGGTCTGTGTCCACTCTACCCTCTCCAGACCCCACTTGTGGGATTTCACTGTGTATGTTATTGTTATTATTGTACTAAAGAAATCCACTAAATATTTGATTTTGAACCCAATCTGTATTGTAGTATTAACTTGAGGTCGCTATAGGAGCTCATAAACTTCAAATTCTGAATCAACATCTGTTTGTCATAACTATATCTCAAATGTGGTGTTTGGTTAATCTCATTTTGCAGAAGCCAAGAAAGAGGTTATTCCTTGAGTTAGGAGAAGTTGGTTTGCTTTGTTTGTGGTTTTTTTTATAATCTTTTCTACGTGAAGGGAAAGTGGGAAATATTGTTTGGAAGTGGAAATATACTCTAGTGGGAATCTACTAGGAGTAATTTATTTTCTATAAACTAAGCAAAGTTTGGAAGGTGACAAAAAGAAAGACAAAAATCTTGGAATTGTTTTAGAAAACCAAGGTTTTCTTGCTCAGAATGTCTGTTGCCTTGTTATGGGTTGTTTCTCCTTGTGAGGTCTCAAATGGGACAGGATTCTTGGAATCAGTCCGGGAGGGAAACCGTTTTTTTGATTCATCGAGGCATAGGAATTTGGTGTCCAATGAGAGAATCAATAGAGGTGGTGGAAAACAAACTAATAATGGGCGGAAATTTTCTGTACGGTCTGCTATTGTGGCTACTCCATCTGGAGAACGGACGATGACATCGGAACAGATGGTCTATGATGTGGTTTTGAGGCAGGCAGCCTTGGTGAAGAGGCAGCTGAGATCTACCGATGAGTTAGAAGTGAAGCCAGACATACCTGTTCCTGGGAATTTGGGCTTGTTAAGTGAAGCATATGATAGGTGTGGTGAAGTATGTGCAGAGTACGCAAAGACGTTTAACTTAGGTTAGCTTCTTTAATCTATTCATGCGTTTACCAAATTTTTTCGTTAAAGTACTAATTATGACTATATATATGCCTGTTCATGTAATTGATGAAGACAAAATTTGATCTTTGTTTGGTTATTCAGGAACTATGCTAATGACTCCCGAGAGAAGAAGGGCTATCTGGGCAATATATGGTGAGGTTTCTAGCCATTTAATAACAGATACGCACACAAACATGTATGATTAATCGGAGACGAGAAAAAAAGAACTAAAGTTTGAGTTTGAGGGTCACATGTAATAAGTAATATCTGAGCTTGGCTAGCTTTAGACGTTTTATTGTCATATCATGCTTAATACTAGCCAAAACATTGAAAAAGAACATGGTTAATATTCACATACTAATATTTTCATTTGTGTTACTGTTTACATTTTTACTGATGGAACTGGTTTGTTTTGATTTGTTAAACTTCATATTCGATGTTAATAAAATATATCAATCCTCCCTCTTTCTCCACTTCAAGCTTTATTCTAGTGTTGAAAGGGAAAACTCCTTATAATGATTGCATATACAAACGAACTTCTTGAGTTGAATAGTTTCTCATTGTGTTCTGTTTAAACAGTATGGTGCAGGAGAACAGATGAACTTGTTGATGGCCCGAATGCATCATATATTACCCCGGCAGCCTTAGATAGGTGGGAAGATAGGCTAGAAGATGTTTTCAATGGGCGGCCATTTGACATGCTTGATGGTGCTTTGTCCGATACAGTTTCCAACTTTCCAGTTGATATTCAGGTTAGTCTTCCAATTCTATGATCTTTATATTTGTTCAATTTGAGTTTGATGTCGTGTTAACTGAGTGGTTTTCCAATAGCTTACTTCAACCTTGTGGAAAATGTTTTTAGTTGGATCTCTAGTTCTGTTTCCTTTATCTGTTTCTCTCGTCCTAGATTCTACACATACTTCGTTCTGTTATAACATTTTTTTCGTCTTTTGGTGTTGTTTTGTGTGCGAATCATATATTTGGAACAGAAACATTATTTGTTCACATAATTTGATTTGCTTTGTTCAACAGCGTAAATCATCTATCCTTTCAATATATGTTGCAGCCATTCAGAGATATGATTGAAGGAATGCGTATGGACTTGAGGAAGTCGAGATACAAAAACTTCGACGAACTATATCTCTATTGTTATTATGTTGCTGGTACGGTTGGGTTGATGAGTGTTCCAATTATGGGTATCGCACCTGAATCAAAGGCAACAACAGAGAGTGTATATAATGCTGCTTTGGCTTTGGGGATCGCAAATCAATTAACCAACATACTCCGAGATGTTGGAGAAGAGTAAGTACAAAGCTATATTTTACGCACATAATTTTTTTTGCTAATATTTACATATCAAAAAATAGAAAATGAGCTGTTCGGTTAGCCAGTTTATTTGTTTTTTATGTCAACATAATAGTATAAAGTAATTAGTATCAGTCGTTCTGGGAATAAAAAAAAGATATTCTTCTTCTAAAGTTTTGTTTATGGGGAGATTATTCTTCTTTTGAGAGCTTAAAGCTCATTAGTTAGTCGTTAGAGGCGAAGAAATTCTTCATTTTCCATCTTTATTCCACCATAAAGTTGAAAGTGCCATGTATTAGCTCTTAAGGTTTCCGTTGTTCTTATATATTGCTTTCCCTGCAGTGCCAGAAGAGGAAGAGTCTACTTGCCTCAAGACGAATTAGCACAGGCAGGTCTATCCGACGAAGACATATTTGCTGGAAGGGTGACCGATAAATGGAGAATATTTATGAAGAAGCAAATCCATAGGGCAAGAAAGTTCTTTGATGATGCAGAGAAAGGAGTGACAGAATTAAGCGCAGCTAGTAGATTCCCTGTAAGCATTCGTAAACTCTTAGTCATATGAACATGATTTCTTTTCGCGTTATTAGATGAATATGATTGCTTGTGTTGAGTATTTCTAGGTCGATGAAGTTGAGAGGAAATGATTTTAAGTTTTAACGACTTTTACCGGGTGCCATGTATCTGCTACCTAATATTAGGTAGTTGTAGAATTTTAACCTCACGTCCAGCTACCAACCGAGGAATGAACCTTGCATTGAGCTCGTAGTTATGAATATTTGCTCTGGCATGACATTGCGCGGATCATGAAATGTCTTAGATTGGTATTAGATTCGTATATGTAATTGACAAATTCTATAGCTCATATCTTTAGTTTTCTCTGAACGACCTACAAACCAACGGATAGCCTTGCATTGAGCTTGCCGTTCTGAGTATTTGCACTAACATTACATCATGTGGATCCTGAAATGGCTCGGATTGCTATTATTCTGGATATGGCAAAATCATTCTATTAGGTATTAGTTATCGAATAACTACATTTGACTTAACAAATACCTTGTGTTAGAATTACAGTATCTCATATCTCGTATCTTTAGTATTCTCTTATTTATTACCCGTGTCTACTATTCTGGCAAAATAACCTCACATGTTCCTCGTTTTTTTCCCCAGGTATGGGCATCTTTGGTCTTGTACCGCAAGATTCTCGACGAGATTGAAGCCAATGACTACAACAACTTCACAAGGAGAGCTTATGTGAGCAAATCAAAGAAGTTGATTGCATTACCTATTGCATATGCAAAATCTCTTGTGCCTCCTACAAGAACTATCTCTCTTCTAAGCTAAAGAATGAAATCAAGATATATATATAAAAAAATAAAATCAAGGCTAATTAAGCAATATACATTAGAAAAAAAAAGGAAGAAGAAATATTGTTGTATTGATATAAATGTATATCATCAAGATTAGGTTGTAGTAAAATTCAATATAACAATCTCTCATAGTTGTGACTTTTCAACAATTATCTGCTCCGCACTTGGCTACTCAGGATTTTATTGTGGGCACGATAACTAATATACCAAATTCATTTTTGGTTCATTGGAAAAAATTCTTGTTACATTTTTGGGGGAAAAAAGAAACTATCTCACAGATGACGATTTTGCATTTCGATTTTGTAAAATTGTCATTCAAATTCGATTCAATCCATACACCAATAGCCAACAAGAGAGTTAGAGACACAATGGTCTAGCCGTCTAGACGCAGATTATTGAGTAATATTTTTTTAGTGGTGTATACATAATTTGATTTTTTGATCAATTCGGTTTGTAAATATATTTAATCATATTCAAATCAGAAAATCACAATATTTTATAATTGAATTTGTAATCTAAATTTGATTTGTATAATTCAAATTGCTTCGAATTGATTTTGAATCATTCTACCACCTATTTTAATAATCTTTTCACCTTTTTAAAACTCTGTTAGACATATAAATTAAAATGGAGGGAGTAACAAACTTTTTGAGTTTTTGATGGTTTAAGCCAAAACAAATAAGATCATTCAAGGTGCAGGAGCTTTGGATTTACCATTTAAGCAACTCTTTCTTGTCCATTAAGTTACAGATTAAGATTTTAAGAAAACTCAATAAGCTAGAAGCTTTTTAGTGACGAATTAGTTAGAGATCACCAACAAATTTCTGATCAAATTGTTTGATACAACCAAAGTATATAGATACCAATAATAATATATATATATATATATATATATATATATATATATATATATTCTGATGTTGTATCAAGGATGAAGAAGCAGTGGTTCAGTGAGTAGAACAAGGGAACAATCGGGCAAATAGTTTGAGCCGTGGGTTCAATCGGGGTAAATATATTAGGTTGAGTTCAATTTGAATAAATACTTTACCTAATAAGTCCAATTTGTGTAGTTTTTTTCATAAATAATCTCATAAAAAATTCCGGTAATTATTATTCTTATCCACGAACCCAAACAAACCCTAACCATTGGATGAGTCGGTGGGCCCAACTAAGTCCACCAACATTAGGTGTGAAACCGACATCAATTTTATTCTTATTTATTTTTTATTTCTGGTAGAAAAATAGTAGGGAAAGTTACCTTCACATAGAAAATGTGTGCTCTATATTTATTTGAAATAATGAAAATTTTAAAAAATTATATTTTATCTATTGCACTCTATTTTATTCGAAATTGTATTGATTCGCTTTTTCTAAAATTTCATAGAAATAGTAAATGTGTATAATATATTGGGGCTCTAGGGAGATTTGTTACGGTATTGTCCTGATTTTCTTACTTTATTTGAAGTTTATTTTTTTCTAAAAAGAAAGATAAAACATTACCATAAATGTTTTAATTTTTTTCTGAAAATAAAACATTATTTTCTTTCATATTTGGTTTATTCTTTCCTTAGAGGAAACATTTGGAACTCTATAAATTGAAGATCCATCTTCTCATACAAAATACAATAGTAACATCCACAATGTAGTCGTTTAAAGAGTTTTGTTTATGATGAGATTATTCTCCCAATATAGTTTATGCTTTTTGATATTAGTTTTCAATATGTGGGTCACTTGACCAAACCATATTAATAATATGTTTTTAGTATGCTTTTATTTGTCTTTTGATTTACCAATCATATGCTATGTTATTGTAAGCTTTCACATGACATCATGATTACTTTCGAACCCCACAAGTTGTTGGGTTCGAAAGTGATTAGGGCGTCATGAGGAAGCTTACAATTGCAAATCATATGGTTGATAATAAAAGCATATTATTGATATGATTTAGTCAAGTGACTTACATATTGAAAACTAATATTAAAAAACATAAACTCTATTAGGAGAATAATCTCCCCATAAAGAAAACTTTAGACGTCTACATTATGGACGCTACTGTATTATGCTATGGGAATAGGGATCTTCAAATTTTTCCTCTAAGGAATGAATAACTAAATATGAAAAAAGTTTATTTTTTATATTTTTTTCTTTCAAAATATGTAAAAACAATTATAGTATTGCTTTAACTTTTCTTTAAAGAGAAAGTAATATTCAAATATGAAAAGGTAATCAGGACAGAACCTAAAAAAATATGATCCATAAAATTGGGTGGTTAAAATTTAATGAGAGCATAAGTAAAAGTCAAGTCAAATGGTGAAGAAAAAAAAAAAAAACCTAAAAAGGTGGTCATCGGAATGACTCAAATGGCTGCCCCCCCCACACCCCTCGTTCTAAATACTTTTTTGGTTCACTTTATTTGTCGCGATACACCTATATATTAAGAAAATAATGGTTAATATGACTATTTTACTATATTAGTCTTATTAAATGATGTCAAATATTTGTATTAGATTTTGAAAATAATTTGGAGAATAAGCAATTAGTGACAAGAGTAAATATGAAAAATATATAATACTAATTATCTTTTCTTGATATGTTAAAAATGACAAATAAAATTGAAAATCTATATTTAAAATAATAATAAGTAAAAGTGAATAGTGAAAATATTAGTTAAAGTTTACCTATAGTATCACATAAATTGAAAAAGTGAAAGTACAACTTTCAAAACCTTCTTTCTTTCTTGAATTTTGTATCGAATCAAAGTGTAAATAATAAGGATGAAATGTTTACATTCACGAGCGGAGTCAGACAGGAGCAAGGGAATTCGACGAAAATTTTTACTTATTATTTTTAATGTATATATATTATAGTATATATTGAATTCCTTTAATTTTTTCATATATTCATTTTTTTAGTGAAAATTCTGACGTCGCTACTACGCACCCGTAGGTCGAAATATAGGCACAAGAACACTTGTCACATTATACACGTATATATGGTCATCGATTTGTTCTAATTTAATTTGGTATTAGCTGAAAATTTTTCAACAATTTTTTGTCCCTTCTTGGAAAAGTTTTAGTACTGCGTTTTATCAAAAATAAATTAGCATGTGATTGTGATAAATAATATTTCAACGTGTTTTACGTTACTTGAACATGCTTCTCTCAATTTATATAAAAGAAAGACCGTTGAAAGAAAATATTAGTCTTTTGGGGCTTTCTAATTGGTCAAAAAGAAAAACGTGAAATATGAAAGTTTATCGGCATGAGATTTTTATAGTAATTAACTTCCAACGTGGTAAAATAGTTGTCGTGTTTTTCATTTATCATATATGGTCTATATATATGGCTTAACTACCAAGTGAAGAAAAAAAAGATTATGTTCTTCAAGAAAATGTTTGGATGTTGATAATACAGACGTATAAGAATTAAGAAAAGTAACTTCAGTACCTTACCCGTTACTGTTTTTTTTTTACGGTTCAATTCACACTTTACAATGACTTTGAATTCACAACTTCATTTTATACAAAACGTCAAAACCAAAAGTAAGAACCTTATTCCTCTTAATTTCTCTTTGTCTTGTACTTGTATAGTGTTTTTCATGTTAGTTATTATTGTTTCTATTTTATGAGTGTTCTGTAAAGTTACATTATTGTCTTGTCGCGTCAAATTATTGGAGAAGTCATATATTTGTATTATAAACATATTCTTATTGGTTAACCGAAAACGAACCGTTAAGGACCAAAATCAATAAATTGAAAATCGATAAAAATGTCTTATTGATTTAGCATATTTAAAAATAAAAAATCGATAAATCAAATTGATAATACATAAACTGAACCGAAACAACCTATGCACACCTATGTTTGAATATTTATGTATACTATAACAAATAAAGGATTTTACGATAAATTATTCAACAACGTCGCTATATTATATTTAACGTCAATAATAAACATGAATATTTATAACCAACACTTTATATAAATAATAATAATTTTTTCAAATAAAATTCAATTATATTAACTCAATTACCGCTAAAATTAAAACTAGTTCAGTGAGAGAGAGTTTGGTTAGGGCAGCCCAGGATGAAGTGGTGAGGTCAAAGCAGCCAAAAAAATATTAATTATTAATAATTAATAATTCAATTAATTATTACTGGCATTTTCAAGGGTCAGTGGTCTTATTAGTTGGAATTGAACTGTGAAACATGGTGGAATTTACTATTATTACATCCTCCGTTTCATTTTATATGATACAATTGAAATTATGAGAATCAATTGAAATCAAGTTTTTCTTTGATCGTTTCTTTATATATATATTTTTACCTATTTTAAGTTGTTAACTTATAATTTACAATCAAAATTTAAAAATGTATATCTTAAAATTTAGTTATATATACCACATAAATTGCGACTGAGAAAGTAGTAACTATACAAAGTCATTGTAACTTCACTATTATTTCCACCTAAACAACCATTTAGGGACCCATAATGGGCCACATTAGTCTTGACTCCACACTTAGTTTTTCCTCTATAAATTTTCCATCTTAGTTTGCATCTTTTGCATACAAATTCTAAGTTACCTCACTCTATTTTCCTCTCCAACAAATTTTAATACCCTATACTTCTTGAAAAAAAACACAAACTTTTACTCTAATCCTATGGATAATTTACCAAAATGTGGAGCAAATTATGTTTCTCTAACTCCTCTTACCTTCTTAACAAGAGCCTCAAAATGTTATGCCAATAGAACCTCTGTCATCTATGGCAATGTCCGTTTCACATGGAGGCAAACCTACGACCGTTGTTGTCGCGTTGCTTCCTCTCTTCGATCTCTTAACATTGTCAAGAACGACGTGGTAAGTACAAAAAATTAATCAATTATCGTTTAAACGTGATGAATTTATGTTATGTATATGTTGAATGTGTAAAAACCTAACACAATATGTTATCTCATGTTTGTTATTAATACTTATTATAGAGATTTACATGAAATTACATCAAGTGACATGATTCTATATATACTTATTTCACTACAAAAGAAAAGAAGAAAGTAGTGACAAAGACAATTTCTATTGCTAAACAATAAAAATCTTTTTCTAATTCATTTTTAAATAAGTTAACGATAG